TCGAGTAAAATTAATTAAGATCAATGCATTTCGCAAACTATTATTTCATCATTCGAAGGACAAATGCCTTTATTAATATAACCGGTTGGGTTCAACTGAAAATGAATAATGATGTGTTTCTTGTTCATTATTAAACATTGGAGCTTTTGAAATGATTGCTGCTATAATATTGGGCCATTTCGCTGATGCATTTTCCTTATTGTATAATTATTAAATTATTATTATGTTACTATTATAATATTTTTAGTAGTATTATATCATTTTGTAAGAATTATTGGCCACGCTTGTCCCATACTATGTATCTCACATGAAGTTTGGGCAGTACGCCGACTTATTAGCGCCATGAAAAAAAGACACCCAATGCTCGTTTTGTCCTCACTATCCATTTTGGGTAATTAGCTAGAGCGAAAAATACATTTATGGAGACAATAGTGATGATTTAAGGCGTTTTTAATAAGTGTTGATAGCTGATTTCGGTGCCTATTGAAGCGAGTTGTTTCAGTTATTAAAATGTAAATAGTCTGTGTAAATGATATTTCAGGCATAGTCTAATTTTCTAGAGGAGATTTCCAATTAAAAATCATTTGAATGTGTAATTGCATAATCGAAATATTTGAATTCGAGTAAAATTAATTAAGATCAATGCATTTCGCAAACTATTATTTCATCATTCGAAGGACAAATGCCTTTATTAATATAACCGGTTGGGTTCAACTGAAAATGAATAATGATGTGTTTCTTGTTCATTATTAAACATTGGAGCTTTTGAAATGATTGCTGCTATAATATTGGGCCATTTCGCTGATGCATTTTCCTTATTGTATAATTATTAAATTATTATTATTTTACTATTATAATATTTTTAGTAGTATTATATCATTTTGTAAGAATTATTGGCCCCGCTTGTCCCATACTATGTATCTCACATGAAGTTTGGGCAGTACGCCGACTTATTAGCGCCATGAAAACAAAGGCACCCAATGCTCGTTTTGTCCTCACTATCCATTTTGGGTAATTAGCTAGAGCGAAGAATCCATTTATGCAGACAATAGTGATGATTTAGGGCGTTTTTAATAAGCGTTGATAGCTGATTTCCGTGCCTGTTGAAGCGAGTTGTTTCAATTATTAAAATGTAAATAGTCTGTGTAAATGATACTTCAGGCATAGTCTAATTTTCTAGAGGAGATTTCCAATTAAAAATCATTTGAATGTGTAATTGCATAATCGAAATATTTGAATTCGAGTAAAATTAATTAAGATCAATGTATTTCGCAAATTTTTATTTCATCATTCGAAGAACTAATGCCTTTATTAGGTCGACTTATTTGGGTTCAACTAAAAATGAATTATGATGTATTTCTTGGTCATTATTGAGCATTGGCACAATTACATTGATAGTTTCTATAATATTGTGCCATTTCGCTATGTTCGCTATGTTATATGTTTTCCGCATTGTATATTTTTAAACTTAAAAATGAAAATAATATGCAATTGCATAATCAAAATAATTTATTTCGAGTAAAATTAATTAAGATCACTTAATTTCACAAATTATTATTTATTTATTCCTTGAAAAAATACCTTCAAAGTGTCGGCTAATTAGGTTCAATTTAATAAGAATATTGATACGTCTTCATTAATAAAATAATAATTTCTTGTTCGCTATTAAACTTTGCAAAGTTACGATTCCAACTACACTATTGTATAGTTTTAACTCTCACGCCTTAATAAATTGTTATTATAGAGAGTACTATGATTATAATATTAGTAATATTATATTAAATAGTAAATTAATAGTTTTTGGCCACAACTGCTAGATACTACGCATCTTATCCCGATTAGCGCTAACTAATTTTGAGTAGGATACCAGCTTATTAACGTTATTAAAACTAAAGCACCCAATGCTAATTTTTTCTTTAATAACCTTTTCTGACAGTATACTGATTTAGAGAGATTTTATTGTAAGTTGATTGCTGATTTCAGCATCTGTTGGTGGGTTCATGAACAAAGAGTTGATTTAATAGTTTTTAACATTTAAATAGATCACGTTCTGATAGTGGGTCGAACGGTTGTTTCTTAAAATATTTAAATTAGACTAAAATTAATTAAGCGCAATGTATTTCGCAAACTATTATTCATTCATAAAACAAATATTTTCAATGAGTTAACAGTATTGGTGTTTAACTAAATATAAATAATGATGCATATCCATTAATAAAATAGAAATTCTTCTCCTCGTTAAACTTTGGCACTTTTACAGCTAACACTATACTATTGTACAACGTTACTGTTACACGCATTATTAGTAGTAGTAATAGTAGCAATAATTTAGAAAGTTAGAAACACAAATCAAGCAAAAAACGAAGAATTTCTAAAGATATGTATGTTCACAAAACAGCGCTTCATCAGGGGACACACTGTCTGTTAACACACCGGAGCCTTTTTGTCGTCAGTGGTGAAGCCAAAAAATGACTGTGGCCTGAGGCCCCATAATGGATAAACTAAATACGAAAAGGCAATTAAAAATCCAAAAATTGAAATGTAAATGCAATGAAAAATTAATGATACACTAACACAATTCAAAAGTAAGAACTAATAATGAAACACACACATATAAGAAAAATAAATAAAGATCAAGTTACAGTTAGAATAACCAAAACAAAATAAAATATAAATTGCCAAATCTTAAAAAAATTCTTTACAAATATTTCAAGCGCTGACCCCTTTCAAAAATCTTGAAAAATAGAGCAAAAACATTCAATGATTAAAAATTCCAATAAAGTGCTGTCATCTATATTCTTCAGGAAACAAAAATCCTAAATTTCACTGCATAGGCCTATTTATGCGTACTTTAATATGGGCCAAATTAGTTGAACGTCTTTAAAATAAAGTAGTAGTAGTAGTATCATTATTATTTTCTTTATTATTGTTTTATTGTAATATTAGTGATATCATATAATTATGTATAGTTTGTCAATGGTTTGTGAAAAGCAGATTTTCCTTTAACTTGTAAATTTCATCTAGCTACATTATCCTTTCAGATTTCTAAGAAGTTTTCTTTCCTTCAATAGTTTATTAAATGCATTTTTCCAAATAGTATTAATAATTGATTAATATATTTCAGATATTACAACATTTTAAGGGAGGATTAATTAATAATAGAGTTCTTTATGTATTATTTTTGTAGTTTTTCTAGCAGTTGTAATAACATTATTTCCCTCTAATTCGTACTTAATCTGATCATTCAAGCTATTTACAATTTTTCTGTAAATTAGAACTTATGCCCTTTGTGTAATCCATAACCTGAGAATCTGGTCGGGAGTCATAAAATTGCAATTAAAATGAAATGTAAAAATTCATTTTAGCTATTTAGTTTGTTTAATAAAAATTAATTTTAATAGTAATAAAAGAACAGCATTATTTAGGGAATCGTGTTCCTTGTGGAATAATTGAGAATTCTGATTATTGAATAAATTGTTTAAATGTATTGAGGTTAATTTTGTTCAGCATCAATCAATTTTTCTATCGACAAATATGGCAAAATCCTTGCTAATGAAATTTCTTAAAAAACATTAATTTTATTTATTAGGATTATTTAATAAGCTACTTAAACTATGGATTAATTAAATGCAAGTATTTTTTATAGTTATCTAGCTGTGATTAAGAACATTATTTCATGTACCCTATGTGCAATCCATAACTTGAATTTGGGAATCATAAAAGGTAAAATTAAAATTAAATTTATATATTTATTTTAACTGTTGAATTTATGTAATAAAAATTGTTAATAATTGATAGTAATAAAAGAACAGCATTAATTAGAAACTCGTACCTTTTATAGAATAAATGAGAATTCTGAACATTGAATGAAATATTACCTGATTGGAAATTCCATTCCCTCCAATAATAAACAAATATGAGATAACAGTAAACACGTTTCAAGCTTTTTAGAAACAGGCTCCCATTTTCAAGACTTGCCAGACGTGAAAGTGAAGAAAACAAAAATAATTTGAAATTAAAAACGAAGTTGAAAACGAAAAAAGGTAAGCTCGTTATCAAGAATTCGAGAAATCTATTGTTTCACTTTGTTGGAATTTCGGACATAAATTCAATTTCGATAAAGCTAGGATTATTTCCTGCCCAGTTATATCAGCTCATCTTGATGCCCTGGAATCTTGTTTAATTCATTTTGACCTATTTTGATTCCCTTGCATTAGTTCCAACCCTCCATAACGCTTGGAAAATCCCTTGACCCTGATTTGCCTCTCTGCCATTGTCATTTTTCTTGTCCTGTTTTTCATCTTTTTTTTCTTTTTCCTTTTCTTTCTCTTTGCTACTGTGTGTATTTTTTCTTTTTTCATTGGCGATTTTATTTCAAATCATTTTTTTTCTTTCTCTGCTTTCACGTCTGGCAATTCTTGAGCGCCTGTTTTTGAGCGCTTGAATAATGTCTACTAGAGCCGCGATAGCTTAGGGGATGGAGCGTTCGCCTTTCAATGAGATGAACCGGATTTGATCCCGGCGATGGCTGGTCGATGCGAATTCCGCATCCGGCTTGCACCGACCACAGTGCAGACGTGAAATATCCTCAGTGGTAGACGGAGCATGGGGTAGAGTCCCCTTGCCGTTAGGCTAACCGTGGGAGGTTCTTGTGGTCATCCTCTCCATTAAACGCAATTGCGGGTTAGTTCCATCAGAAAGTCCTCCACGATGGCAAATTTCTCCCAATACGTGATCCAGGAGTTTCTTTGTCTTCTGGATTGGGTTCAAAATTACGAGGCTACGGAGTTGAACATTAGAAGTCGTAAACCCAAAAATTGGGTCGGCTGTTCAACGACGGTTATAAAATAAAAAATAAAATAAAGCATGTCGACTGTTATTTCCAATTTGTATATTTTTAAGGCGAATGAGGTTTTTAATAAAGTTATCTAACACATATATCAAAACCCTTGCGAATGAAATTTCTTAAAAGATGTGAATTTCTCAAATGACCAATTCAATTAAATGCATAATTTTAATTGTTTATTCATGGAACTAAGGACATGGTAACTCAATTTCAATTTAAATGACTTGCCGCAATTATTTGTTCACTTTTTTCTGTTCGCTATAATTTGAAAATTTCCTGGGAAGTCAACCCTACTATCTTTCAACTCGTCTTTATAACCTGCAAAGAATTCTTTGGCTTCATTTAAAATTTCTTGGCTGATTGTTCTGCTCTGCTTTGAGAACTGAAAAATAATTATGACTTAATGAAACATTTACTTATTTAAATATTTTAAACTTACAAAAAATTACATAAAATTTCACTCTCGAATCAAGTTTGATTTTATATATGTCACCAACAATGTTGGAAATCCGGAATTTCACCAAATGAAAATCAACCGGCATAGTACGAAATGATCATATTTCATACATTCAAATTAGTATGATTATAAATTATTATCATCGAGTTGTAGTAGTTCTAAGTAGGTGCTGAGCTGACCCAGGTTCGAATCCCAACGATGGCCTGTCGACACGATTTCGACACCTCTCATCGACCAAAGTGCTGACTTAAAATATCCTCAGTTGTAGACGTATCATGAATTAGAGTCCCCTTGACATTAAGCTAACCGTGGGAGCTTTTAGTGGTTTTCCTCTCCATAAAACGCAAATGCGAATTCTATCAAAAAGTTCTCCGTGAGGACGAATTTCTCCCACAATTTTGTCTAAGAGTGGATTGGATTCGAAATTACAAGGCTGTGGAGTTGAACATTGGCAGTCTTAAACTCAAAAATCGATCGGCGATCAAATAAAAATATATAAATAAATAAGAGCGTATTTAATTTTGTTCTATTTCATAAGATATGCATAGTTATTTAGAAATCATCGAGTACTATTACCGAATTAACCCAGATAAAAACATGGCAGTGATGCATGAGATGTTAGCCGACGTTTAGGTGAATAAAGAGCTAGTGTTCTGCATACTCTTACCCGGTATTTCTTACACTGAGGTATTTTGTAAGATAAATGGTCACTGTCCGGTATTCGCATCACTGATATTATAAATTATATCCTAATCTGAAATAACAACCAAATAAGCTTGCTGAAGCAAAGTTTGGGTTTCATTAAACAGTTAATTTATTAAATAAAGGAAATACAATTTTTCTTTGGTCCTCGAAGCAGTTACATTTTAAAAAAAAAATAATGCCCTATTTTTTTGTAGTTCTCTTATTTCATACCTTGCTTAAAAACGCTAGGTATTGTATACAATGCCGGCACATCATACATTGCTGGTAACATATAAAACAAATGTGACATGAAACATAATTATTTTATCCTTAAATACGAAAACATTAGTTTTTAAAAACATGGTATTGTATAAAAAAGTTTTAAAAGAGTGTTTGCCGCGCATATCTTATGCTTATTATTAGTACTACTGTGCAAATGAAAACCCACGCAAGTGCTTCGCAATAGATTTATAGAAAAATGGCTTTGTAACTATTTTTTTTCTATTGCCAACGTTACGAAAGCTAAAATCAAATTTCAGAAAATTTATAAAACAAAATTTACTTTTGGAAAAAATTGCAATAAGTAGCTTATCATTCAGAAATGCCAAATATATGTTTTAAAATTTTTAAAAAGAAAAAGCGTTTATAACCTATTTACGCTAATCTTAAGATCCACAACCTAAATGGAGGCAAACCGACAGCCTTTTTCACGCATGAACTGGGACAATTTTCCACTTCCGCCTTAAATGGAAACGCTTTAATTTGTAATAAACTCTACATTCTTAATTTTCTATTAATTAAAAAGAACGAAAGGAATTTTTTTGCACACTTGAATAATAATCGAAGCAACCATTGTCGCTGTGGATTTTAAGTCACATTTAACTGGAAGCAACCCTTTGACACATAATCCTTATTAAACAGATTTTTTCTACCCTTTTTTAATTATTTTGCATTAATTTAGATCATCATAAGTGAAAAATATTATACTTAGCATTTTAATAATTTTTAGTTGTAAATATAGTATTAAACACTGGTGTCCTTTTTCGGTTAATGGTAAAAGTTTCCAAACATGGCTTACTCACAAACAATAATTTTTTTCAATTTTTACTATTTCCAATTGTTTAGATCCAACAGAGATAGTTTTTCGTCATTGAAATTTCTTTAATTTACAAAATCAATCATTAATAAATTTTTGAATATGAATGAGAAAAAAAATCCAAAGAGCATTGTTTGCATTTTATATTTTAGCACAAGTGTAATTTTGCTAAACTTTATTATATTAACTTTCATTTATTATATAATTATTATTTATTATATAATTATTATTTATTATATAATTATTATTTATTATATTAACTTTATTTTTTTAGTAACTATTAGTCTGTTTTTTATAATTAAAAAATATCAAACTGTTGCTTGAAATGAGAGGGTCAGCAAAAATATATATATAAAAGGGTCATTGGTGGTGTTTTATCTGCGTCAAAGAGTTAGGGAACGCAAAGGGCTAGAGTAAAAAAATAATTCATGACAAATTATATCCTTCTTCGTCGGTAATTTAAATTTTAAATTATAGAAAAAGGTCAGTTCAGACAAACTATGAAGTTTCGAATGTTTTAAAATCTTTTTTTCAAAATATCAAAATGCAAACAATTCATACAGGAAGATTTTCCTACGAGGGTTGCTATTTATATTTCTGGCCTTGGCAACAGTAAGTGTTGCTAGGCGACCGCAGACGATTTTAATCGAAAGTTTGATATTTTTAAACATAAATTCTGCAGACGATTTACCATTATAGCTTCATTTGTGTTGTTGACAGTAAATTGAAAAGTTCTTCTCTTTCAAAAAATGGAATTGAATCGTGAACATTTTCGTGCCATAATTTTTCATAACTTTCGACGTGGATTGTCAAGGCAAGAGTGCTTCGATGAACAATATTTTAAATATAATAATAATAATAATTTAAATAATAAATAATATATTAATAAATAATAATAAATAATATAATAATAAATAATATAATAATAAATAATATATATAATATTTAAATAATAATTTAAATTTATAATAAAAAATATTTCTTTGTTCAGCGATAAAGCGCCATTCTACAGCACTGTAAAAAATTGGTATAGCGAATTTAATCGTGGTCGATGTTCGATCCAGGACGAATCCCGTGCAGGTCGTCCAAAATCCGTTGTTGTGCCAGAAAAGATCGATGCTGTGCGTGAACTGATAAAGCAAGATCGACATGCGACATACCGTGAGATAGAGGCGTCTTTGGACATTAGTATGACTAGCATCAATAAAATATTGCATGAACATTTGAGCGTAAAAAAAAATTTGTTCGCTTTGGATCCCGCATAATCTGACAAACGCTCAAAAAAAGGCTCGTGTCGATTGGTGCAAGGAAATGTTGGAAAAATACGTTCAAAGTACATCAAAGGCTGTGTATAACATCTACACAGGTGACGAATCATGGATCTATGCATATGAGCCGGAGAAAAATAAATAACTGTATGGGTCTTCCAAGACGAGGCAAAACCAGCAAAAGTTGTTCGAGGAAGAAGCACATCGAAACAAATGATTGCCTGCTTCTTCTGCATTAACGGTCATGTGGCAACAGTAATGTTAGAGCAACGCAGGACGATCATTTCTGAATGGTACACGACCATTTGTTTGCCAGAAGTCATCGGAGAAATTCGAAAAAAGCAGAAGAACAAGCGAATGATTCTTCATCATGACAATGCGAGCTCTCACACATCGACTCAAACAAAGGCATTTCTGACGGAGCGAACTGATGGGTCATCCGCCTTACAGCCCTGATTTGGCACCCAATGACTTCTTCTTATTCCCACACATCAAAAATAAATTACGTGGACAACGATTTTCGACCCCCGAAGAAGCGGTTGATGCATTCAAAACGCATGTTTTGGATTTACCTCAATCGGACTGGAAAAAGTGCTTTGAAAATTGGTTCAAACGCATGCAAAAGTGTATTGATCATCATGGAGAATATTTTGAAAAACAATAAAACCAATTTCGATCCTAGATATTTGTTTTTTCATTATTAGGCCAGAAATATAAATAGCAACCCCCGTATAGCATAATCCTGAGTAATTCCACCATAATTTCTTTGCATTTTATATTTTTGAAAAACAATTCAACATTTGTAACTGCATCGTTTACTCTTGGTTTGTCTAAACTTTTTTTTTTATACTTTAAATTTTAAATTACTAAAATGAGTAATATAAAGTATTTCTCCTGTGCTGTATCTTTTCATATCAACTTCAAGAGAAACTGTTCATCTCAAATTCTATTTCACCCTCTAAACTAATTAAAAATTTAAAGTATTGAAAAAGAGGGTTCCGGCAAACTTAAAGCCATGTAAAGTAAGACATGAAGTTTCAATTGCAGGAAAAAAATTTTTAAAATATTAAAATGCAAGCAAATTATTGGAAGAGAACTTCTAACCTAAGAGAGAACTTCTAACCTAATGAGAAGATAACCTAAGTTATCTTCTCATAATTTATATTCATTTGGATATTTAAAAAAAAAAATAAACGTCATGGCTTACACCAGGCTTATCGGAACTCATTTTTTCTATTCATTAAATTTTAAATTAGTTATCGAGGTGAAAGAGAATTTGAATCGTGAAGTTTCTCTCGCGGTATGGCGTCCTCTATAATCACGATTTTTTTTTACGACGAAAAAAATTATTTTATAACTTCATTACATTATTAATAAAGATAGAAAACCAATTTTGAAAATTTGTTTGCATTTAAGGAAAAAAAATTTAAAATTCAGGGGTGATTTTTTTTTTGCGGGTAAGTATATCCCTTTTAAACAATAGCATAAAAATTGATATATTAAATAATTCCTTCCTCTCCTTTTTATGCAGTTTCTTTAGAGTGCAAGTCATCGTTGAATATATAAAATTAAAATTTAGAAAATGTTTTGAATTTACCACGACAGCTACTGCTTTAAGGTTTTCAAGCTTGTCTTCTGAAAGCGCCATTCCTCTCAGAGCTTTCTCTATCTGTGATCCGAATTGAAGTTGTTTATCCTGCAGATCCAGATTCATATCTTTAAAGAAAGCTATCACTTTTCCTTTATATTCGTTATCACCATTCTGCTGTTCTGAAGAGCTATCACTGTTCAAAAATCTTTCTACCATCAATAGTAGTTTAGTTCTTTTTTCTGCACTGGCGCTAGGCAAAACCTCATTCATTATCTTGATAGATATTAAAGAAGAAAATTATAAGAGTAAGCAATTTTTGACACCGTTATTATGCAAGGTAATTAGTAACAACTGCCCTCAATATATAATTTATGAATATTTTTTAATGAAATAAGGTAAGCGCATTAACTAGTTAAATTTCATCCAACATCCTTAGAGATTTAAAAGAAGAGGATGCTAAAAGCAGTATCTAAAACATTTGGTACAGATGCAGGGTAACTAGTAATAACCGCTCTTACTACATCTCAAACAATAAAAAGAAAGTAAGAACCTTTTTGCACGCCTGCTGCAAGTTCGATAGAAGGTAATAAGTAATAACCACCCTTGCTATATGATTTTTTAGGTGGGTTCAAATGATAATAATATGTATCTCTTTTGTATCAATGAACAACTAGGCAAATTTTCATTTTGGGATGTAGCTAAGTTGACTGCCAACCGAGTTTAAAACTAAAACATAAATATGTAAGTAGTATATGGGGGGGGCTAGAGG